ATTAGTTGCTACAGACCACATTAATCGGCAGTTGAATCAGTTCCAAAGATTAAGATGAAATGGGTTGGCTGGGAGGAGAGCTCAGCTTGAATGAATTACCAAGTCATCGATGGGACAGTATTTCGACCAGTTTCTCTTTTTAGGGTCTGTAATTAACACATCGTGCTTTTTTCATTGCTGTAAATCGGCTACGTGTTCCTTGCATCTTCAAACCGGAACTACTTCATGCCCAGCATGCATTGCGAATCTGTCTTTAAAGAATTTTCCAATCTCGTAATTTGCTGAAGGCGTAATTACTAATTAAGATAAATATTGACTATCATGCTCTAAGTTAATCTTTGGACTTTGATTCAACGCTACATATATATCATTTCGGATATTATTGGATTGCCATGTACTGTGCATGTTTGTTGTCTGTGAGCCTGCTCCTCAGTTGCCTTTGTGTAATTGTATGAATATGTTGCCGTGTCTGTGTCGTTTCCGTGCCGCCGTGTCTGTGTCGTCGTGTCTGTGTCGTATCAGTGCCGCCGTGTCTGTGTCGTTTCCCTGTCGTCGTGTCTGTGTCGTGTCCGTGCCGCCGTGTCTGTGTCGTTTCCCTGTTGTCGTATCTGTGTCGTGTCCGTGTCGTTTTGACGGTGTCGTCGTGCCAATATCGTCCCCATGTCGTGGTTTCTCTGTTGTCATTTCAGTGTCGTTTTGTTCCTGTCCGAGTTAATGTCATGTCCATGCTGCCGTGTCGTATTGTCGGTGTCGTAGCGACTTTGCCCTTGTGCCTGTATCTTATTTGTGTCGTCGTGTCGGTGTCGTAACGCTTTTGTCATTGTGTCTCAGTCGTCGTGTCGGTGCTGTCGTGCCAAAATCGTCCCCATGTCGTGGTGTCTGTGCCTGTATGTGTTAATGTCATGCCCATGTTCCCGTGACATATGGGCACAATGTACTAAACCTATTTCCGTTATGTGATTTAAATATTTATAAAAGCTACACACTCTACAATATTACTAAACGTAAATTATTGCACGTCTTTTGTCTGTTCATACATCCGGTGTTGGCGGGTGGGCTGGATTGTCTGGGACACATTCTGATTACAATTTAATTTGCAAGGGAAATAGCCTGCAATGCTCATTTGTGAAACGTAAAATGGTCTCTTATCAATGCTCTACTTATTTAGATAACAACGAAGGGCATATTTAATTTCAAATTAAACAGCTGTGCCTCAACCGTCAACAGTATATTGATCCAAGATAATGAAATCATTATGAGTCATGGCAAACTGTGGATAGACAAGCCTCAACATGACATTATATCGGACACTCCGTCTGCTCGGAGAGTTACCCCCCCATATGTAAATAGCACAATGCCCAGGTGTGTAGAAGGGGTGAGTATCCAATGGATTGGAGGGGTCATTTAGGTTTCACTTTGTTATCGGCTGTCTATGCCAAGGCTGCCACTGTCCGAGAGAGAGGTGAGGTAAAATGGGGTTTAACGGCGTGCTTGCGTGCGAGCGAGATTGTACCAGTCCGGACTGATGCCGATTTATAGTACTAGCACACTGAGATACCATGCCGCAGTTTAACATGAATACCCCACACAGACACAGTATGCTGACTCCGAGCCGATCAGTCCTTGTTTTAGCCCCTTAATGCCGAGCGCCAGACAGGGTAACAACAAGTACAATCTTTTAACGTCTTTTGTTATGACGTGGTCGGGGATCGAACCCCGGACATTCCGCTCTCCGGGCAGACGCTCTACCACTAGACCACGGAGGCGGTCCCAGGTGAAAGGCCAACTGGAGGATCTTCAATAACGAAAGAGTCAACATATTTCATGGAACCACAACCTATTTTAGCCGGGTATCCAATGTCTATTGTCCAACTATGTTTTACAACCCAAAGCTATTCTGTTTTTACTAGCATTTGTTAACATATTTTTCAAAATATCAAATGCTTGGTCCCTTGAGGTCAGAGGGGTGGTCAAGTGGTTAAAGTTTTTGCCGATGATCCGGGTTCGATACTAACATCGGCACAGTGTGTGAAGTTTACTCACTGAATATCAAGATATATACCCTTGTGAATAAAAGCGACAAAATTCAGCCCATAATTATGAGAAATATTTTGCTTTTAGCAGATATTTCTCATAATCATGGGCTCAATTTCCACTGTCCAGGATACTAGAACGCTATTCGTAGCTCTGCAAGCGGATTTTGAAATCAATATTACCCTGTCCCCTCTCCTCATCAACAGGTGTCTATAATGCTAGCTATAAAACGCATGTACGCAGTAACAAGGCTTATTATCCCGTACTGTGTGCAGTGTTAAAAAAACCTAAGGCTTCATAATAGGCATATCGTATGACGGTCGTCAGATTGGGGAGTCGTCATGGTGATGTCATACGTCAGATTCAAACCTATTAACCAAAGAGACACGATTAGGCACTATATTAATGCATTAATGCATGTTGCCGTCAATAATTAAATATGATGTACTTAACACCTGCTAGGCTAAGAAATTCGATTTACTTTAAGTTTGTGTTCGTAACATCTTACAGATTGCAGACACACCCAGACTAGAAGCAAAACACCTTTTTTTCCAAAATGAATTGATAAGATAAATTATGAAAATGTTTTAGTTCTCACTTGTGTGTTACGAATGCAATAACAAACTTTTGATTGCAATGTTTCAAATTATTATTTTTGATTTTGTTTGGGTACATGCTTTTAAAGGTACATTCAAAACGTCGACGATTTGTTAACAGTTATCAGTCTTGATACCGAAACAGACTCTATAGAGCGTAAAAAGGCAAAATAGTCATGAAAGTTATGCGCATGGATCACTAAACATTAAATATGACACCAGGTGTTTGCAAAGGTTAAGTATGTCCTGCTGTGCCGGTAGAACTGGCCACGCACATATTTGTATTTATAATAGTAAATTTCAGTGAGAGAGTGAGTGAGTAAGTATGGTTTTACGCCGCTTTTATCAATATTCCAGCAATATCACGGCGGGGGACACACGAAATGAGCTTAAATTTCAATGAGGAAGGAAAGGTGAAAACAACATGGTGAGGTGAGGTGAAATGGGGTTTAACGTCGCGTCCAAGATTATTGCACTTATATAGCGACGTGCATGCACGTGTATGTGTGTGTGTGTGTGGCTGCTTGTACTAGTCCGGACTGATGCCGATTTATAGTGCTAGCTCACTGAGATACCATGCCGCAGTTTAACATGAATACCCCACTCAGACACAGTATACTGACTCCGAGCCGACCAGTCCTTGTTTTAGCCCCTTAATGCCGAGCGCCAGACAGGGTAACAACAAGTACCATCTTTTAACGTCTTTTTGTATGACGCGGCCCGGGATCGAACCCTGGACCTTCCGCTCTCCGGGCGGACGCTCTACCACAAGACCACGGAGGCGGTCGAAAACAACATGGGATAGCCTTGTGCATCAGGCATTTATCCCATTTTATTAGCTTACTTGACTGATAGCTCGGGCGGCGTCCGGCGTCAGCCCTGTACTCTGAGGATGTAGTCCTCTTCCTTTAATGACAGGGGCGGTCGGGTAGCCAAGTGGTAAAAGCGTTCGCTCATCACGCCGAAGACCCGGGTTCGAATCCCGACATGGGTACTATGTGTGAAGCCCATTTCTGGTGTCCCCCGCCGTGATATTGCTGGAATATTGCTAAAAGCGGCGTAAAACCAAACTCACTCACTCACTCACACTTTAATGACATATTTTGTCCAGATCTAGAGAATTTAATGTTAGACGAAGTTTTAATCCTTAGTATATATGTAGAAGGTATTGGAATATCAATGCTGACAATTACTTTTTTAAATGTCATTGTTGACATTTGAAACTATAGACATCATATCCAGGTGAGCTACAGTGTCCTTGCACTATAAAAATGTACACGAAGACTGACCCAGTCTATCATACACAGAGCTCTTTCTACCAAACGACCAGGGTTCTAAGGTTGAACAGTCGTGTTGGGACTTGACTGGCACTCTATTGCTTGTTTCAAATTATTAGATGATTTAATGGGTCGGGTGGTTTACTTCAGTGACTTGACTGCGTTTCATCTAAGTCTGGGTCGGGTGGGTCCTGAGTAGGACCCGGGTACCCGGACCCGTGGTTAGTCATATGATATATTGTTTAATGACAAAAACCCACTGTAGCTCAGTGGTTATACATGTACTACAAGCTGCTAATGTTCGCATTTCTTTCTGACGATGCACCCATTCCTTTTGACTTGTATATTTGTTAGTAAAGATAAAGCTTCAGTCAACTTAAGTGACCGCATGATCTGATTGTTTGATACATGTATCTAAATAGTTTTAGCCAGGGCTGCGGTAAAACAATTACCAATCAGACATGTTGTTCCCAACTCTTGAGACTTGCAGTGGGTACCCGGGTAGGGTCGGGTACCCGGGTAGTAAATTTGGACTCATCCCAGCCCTAGTGTCATCGTACCCCAACATCGTGGAATGTTGTTCATAATATCGGGGCGGTCGGGTAGCCTAGTGGTTAAAGCGTTCGCTCGACACGCCGAAGACCCGGGTTCGATTCCCGACATGGGTACAATGTGTGAAGCCCATTTCTGGTGTCCCCCGCCGTGATATTGCTGGAATATTGCTAAAAGCGGCGTAAAACCATACTCATTCATTCATTCATTCATAATATCAATCGCTGGTTTATTTGGGTCAGACTCCATAATTTCATAATATGAATATACAAGTTACTCATTCAAAATCATATGACAAATTGTGAAAACAGCCCCTGTTGGCCACGCTCGTCATCAAAGATAATTTATGATCTTTCTAGTTTGACTGGAGGCTGAAATATTTGACATTTCAAACATGTATCTGAAATTAATGGGTGTAACCTTTTGGGATTTATGTAATAATTAATATAAGCGTCGACAAGATTATAAAACTTTATTTTTCATTCCTAAAGGCATAAACTAATTTCAGTAACGATTAATATTTCGTAAATTTTTGTTTTAGCAAAACAACACCGTCCATACGCTTGATCTCCATGGCAACGAGATTGGAATTGCCGGGCTGAAGTATGTCGTTGAAATGTTGCAAGAGAACCGATCTATTATAGACCTGGTAAGTATATCTAAATGTTTATTCAAAAATTATGAAATCATAACTTTAGTGAGGCGTGGGGTGTTTCATGGCGTAATTTAATATATTGGTCCAAGGGGTGTTCCTTTTCATCCTCCCGAATGAGGAATTATTCTGGTAAAATTGGGTTTCTTATAATGGACTGTCACCCCGCACCATTAATATTGCTCAAACCCGAAGCATCTTCATCTAGTATAGCCCAGTGGATAGTGCGTTCGTTTGTGACGCAAAAGGTCTTCGGTTTGAATCCCGGTTGAGCAAACTGTTTCAAGTTTTCTCACCTCACTGCTACGGCTGAGGACTCCAACCTCGGTTTGTTGTCATGGTTACGTGGTGTCTGCTTCTGTGACACTTCTTTCATATTCATAGCAGACAAGCAATTTTGTTTTCTTACGTAAAATATCGTATATTTTCAAAATGAACCTATTTTCATTTTCATTACAGAACCTATCGTTCACTGCCTTAAGAGACGGTGGCGCAGAAATTATCGCCAACTCTCTTGTCCGTAACACGTCCATTGTTAAGCTCAACATATCGGGTAAGTTGATTCGTAGAGTGAGTGAGTGGTTTTACGCGGTTGTTAGCAATCTTCCAGTAATATCATGGCACGGGACAACAGAAATCGGCCTCACACATTGTACCCATGTGTAGACTCGAACCTGGGTCGTTGAAGTTACGCGACCGCCTCTGTAGTCTAGTGGTAGAGCGTCCGCCCGGAGAGCGGAAGGTCCGGGGTTCGACCCCCGGCCGCGTCATACCAAAAGACGTTAAAAGATGGTACTTGTTGTTACCCTGTCTGGCGCTCGGCATTGAGGGGCTAAAACAAGGACTGGTCGGCTCGGAGTCAGTATACTGTGTCTGAGTGGGGTATTCATGTTAAACTGCGGCATGGTATCTCAGTGAGCTAGCACTATAAATCGGCATCAGTCCGGACTAGGACAAGCAGCCACACAAACACATACACGTACATGTACATGCACGTCGCTATATGAGTGCAATAATCTTGGACGTGACGTTAAACCCCATTTCACCTCACCTCACCGTTGGCGTCACGAGCGAACGATTTAACCACAAGGCTTCCCACCGTCCCTTGACTCGAAGACTTGAAGATGATTCACTGGTGTCGGTATGCAGTACATACTTCCCAGGGTACAACGCGCGCACTGCACAGACAAATACAGTTTAAAGAACGTCCACGTGATCAACTATACACACACTCAACGACCACATCTTTACTTACATTTGACAAAGCGACAATGATTAACGTCTACATACGCACGTCACATGTTCATACAGCTAGACACGATGTGACTGCGATGTCAGACATTCACATGTGACCGCCTCCGTGGTCTAGTGGTAGAGCGTCCACCCGGAGAGCGGAAGGTCGGGGCTCGATCCCCAGCCGCGTCATACGTAACACCCCGATACACGTGTAACGTGAATTACAAATGATGCCACAAAGCACTCTTTCATCGGATACAAGAAATATGTTTTTGTTATCTATCCACAAAATCATAAAACCTGATTTGCTTTCTAACTAATAATCCATCCTTCGTATTGTTTTTCATAAAACACCCAATGCCTATACCTTGTTACTAATGGTGACGTATTTTTCCAGGAAACGATTTCCAAGAGAATGATGCGTACTTCATCAGTGAAATGGTTCAGGTAAGACTCGATGTCCCCCTCCCCCCACATCCCATCGATCTGACTCTATATGTGCAATAAATACTGTGCATACATGGCTAACTCCATGATCAATGTTTCACCTGCCGCACAAGACACGAGAAGAAAAAAATATATTAATATGCTTCTTCGAACATCAGCTATGAAAATAATTGACTATATGACAGAAAACATTTTTTGTTTCTCCGTCTTTCAGTTTGGGAAATCGATGTGATCACCATGGGTTTTATGTAATCTAAATTAGGTTTTGTTTGTAAGTGTGGCACAGGCGAATCATGCGTCAATGTGGTTAGAGTTACCTACCCATGGTTAATTCTAAAACCTTACGCTAAGGTCAAAACGAGAAACGAACTAATAATTGGATTTTTTTAAAGATCACCGATATAACGAACGCTGGCGATTATAAAAAATTTCCGAAGTAATGAACGTCGATGTGTCGAATATTTGGTAAGGTCGTAATAGATTATCCGATTTCTATCCCTGGGCGCTTTAAACCAAACTCCCCGCCTCGTATTGCCCTCGAGCTACTGCAGACGGAGATGGGTAGATGCTTTGAACATAGTTTTCAAAAGAACTATTTTTACAAAAATCCTTACATCACTATTTGAAATATTTAGAGAAAAATCCGAAAAGCATAGTCCTATCACATTGGCTCTATATGGACACCTATGTACTAACGCCTTAACAATTCACTGTGTCCAAATGTGTCCCGTAGGCGTGTATGGAAGTTACGATCATGGGTTCGAATCCCAACTATGCCCCAATTATGTTTCTAGGTCTGTCAGCACCATAGCCGTGTTCGTGCGTTTCACCAATGTGGTAAACGTCTAAGACCTGCATCCCACATCCTACCGTCACGTCGTGATATGACTGACCTGTTTAAAGCGGTGTTAGAACCAAACTCATTCACTATTGTTCTCAATGCGTTTCCATTACATTGTACATTCATTAACGGATTTGAAAAGTGCTTATTTATAAGAAAGAATATTGCTGCAAATATTGACCCTGTTGGTCGTCATGGTCAGGGCCCAAAAGAGGTCGGCGTTTAGGCCCTTGGTCTCTTTCATCCCGCATTTAGCTCTCCATCCTCGAGGGGCGGTCGGGTAGCCTAGTGGTTAAAGCGTTCGCTCGTCACGCCGAACACCCGGGTTCGGTTCCGACATAGGTACAATGTGTGAAGCTCATTTCTGGTGTTCCCCGCCGTGATATTGCTGGAATATTGCTAAAAGCGACGTAAAACCATACTCACCCACTCTCCATCCTCGATTAATCAGAGTATCATATCCCCATTCTATTTTCATAAATAATATCATATATCCATTATAGTTTGATAACAATATTTCTCATAATATAATGAAGATATAATACAGTGGAAATTCGAAGATGAGGCTGTCATGATAGATGTAACCGAAAAACTGTTTAAAGCGGCTTTGAGGCCTAGCACTTATTTAGGTATTAGATATGAACTTATGTAATACGCTCAATTCAACAACAGCTATCCAATAAGTTTGTATCTTGCTTTGTTGAGAGAATTCTTTGTTGAACGTGGGAAGTAAGTGACATGGGTTTAGCGCCGCTTTGAATAGCATTTCCGTTATATCATGACGTTAAGCGTGGAGATGAAAGTAGTGGAGTTCTTCATCGCTTATCTATATTATGTTCAAATTTCCAATCCGGGAATACAACGCCATAATGGCCGATTCAGCCCGTGGGTATATTGGGTTTCTAATTGGCTTTGATACTTAGCATTAACCGTTAATGATCGTGTTACGAGATGTTTATTATATCACTTCTCCTTGGTTACAGCGTTGTGGCACATAAAAGGGAACCTCTTTCGTAACCATGGAAACTAAAGCTATTTTCTCTGTTTATGGCTTAAGTGTGTAATAATATAGACTTGCTTACCCATGGTGCGAACATCACAACAGGAAAAAAAATTAAAAAAATTACTCGTTACAATCTCATTTTCGTTTTGTATGATTGTAATTTCTCAACGTTTGATCTTGTGAAAGGTGAGGTGAAAAAATGACGAAATCTAGGGGTTTGTAAAAACTACCTTTTTATGCTAGGTGGTGGAGGTGCGTTTTTCTATGCACGATTAACTCCCGCACTTACGACTTGCGTTTTGCAATTAGGCAAAGTAAGGAAGTTTGGTTATCCCTGCTTTGAACAGCATGTCAGTACATCACGGCGCGTCAGATTGATGTGGGAGGAAAGGCAGAGTGATGTAAGACGTTCACTTTCGTGAAACACAGATATGGTGCCGACAAACCAAGAAACACAATCAAAATGATCTAGGATTCGAAACACAGATATGGTGCCGACAACCCAAGAAACACAATCAGAACGATCTAGGATTCGAACCCTCGGTCACAGGTGTGTGGCAAGGCTGAGGGGCTCTCCACGGCGAATTGCGTCGCCTTAGACTCCCATCCTGTTTCCCTTTGAGCTGCGGTCGCTTGACATACTTGTCCTGAGCCACAAATGTATCTGACATCATTTGCCACGATTATGTTGTAAGGTATCGGCGACAGGTTAAATCGTACGACGGGTGGCCGAGTGGAGTAGGGAAACAAGAAATATATGTGTCCGGATCCGCATGTTCAAATCCCCATTATGATCAGTTTTGAGGTTTCACCAAATGTTGAGCGTCTATGACCTGAGCCCATTTTCGGCCGTAAGATAACTGTCACATTGTTTGAAAGGGTGTGTGCCAATGGTGCCAATTTTTTCTACAACCTCACGCTGAAGTGTCTTCAGTTGATTAATTGCCACACCATGACTACTGTTATATTTTAAAGGGCAATGACTATTGCATCATCCCGTGAAAAAGAGAATACACATTGATGTGTATGCCACTGTACCAAATTAATTAAAAATAATGAACATGTTCTATATTATTATCCCATTTAGACCCAACATTTTTACATGTACACCCATAGTTAAAAAACACTAGGTTGAAATTAATCAAATATTTTCCAAATTTTTTAGATCGATCTTTTATGTCATTATGTAATCAGAAAACAAAATTAATTCTAAATAAATGGTTTTTCATGTGAATAAAATGCAGAGGCCAAATATCAGAACAAATGACACACCCTATCATTAAACACCATTATTACGGATCAAAAGTGTTTGTTTTTTCTAGTTATTATACTGGGTGTTCAATAATTCCGCTAAACCGACCATATAACAAAAGGAGAAAACGGAGCAAAATCGGCGACATTTGCGTCATCAAATTTGCCCCCCAAAAAAGATGCTAACGATATATCATTAACTTGGTCGTTTAATTCCATGTATTCTTTATACGATTTCGTGACGATAGCGAGCTGACACGAAATATTAACGTGTATATCACTGTTGAAAATGGGGTGTGTGTCATTGTTTACATTTCACCGATGTGACGACGATTTTCGAGTCTCGAAACAGCTTAAATAATGTTTTCCTTCACTAAAAGTAACAATTGACGTTATTCTCGTGACGTATACATTGCAGCAGCATTATACAAATCCAGGGAACCAGGCTGTTACAACCAGGGGATGTTGGCATATTTAATTTAAACGGCCGAGAAAAAGAAAGCATACACTAAAAACAATCTTGAAAATTGTTTTTGACCAAAACCTTAAAAACGTTATCAAAACGTTACTAGGCTGAAAGGTGTCTAGCCGGGAGAGCCACATTTCAGAAATGGCTATTGCCGGGAGAGCCACATTTTCAGCTGAGTGCATTTCAACTATTCTAGCGGGTAATTTATTAATCCGATTACCGATACCTTTAAATGAGTGTCCCACATTTACTGCAGACATTGTATTTTGTGATGGTACATTTTATGCCTGTCCCAAGTTGTTTGATCAGATTTATTGTTTACATGCTGAGGTGTTTGGCCATATGTTTCCATTAGTTTACTGTTTGTTGTCCAATCGAACAAAAGAGTGTTATGTCAACATGTTTCAGTACCTATGCGATTTTGCTAGTAGAGGAGGTCTAGAGTTTGCCCCACTTACAATTCAGTTGGAATTTGAACGTGCAGCTCACAATGCCGTGACTGATGTATTTCCTGGGACATTAGTTAGAGGGTGTTTCTTTCACTTCACCCAATGTATCTGGAGGAGGGTGCAGAACGAAGGTCTGGTGATGGACTATAAGGAAGATGAGGAGGTGAAGAAGCTGGTGAGAAGAGCTGCTGCCCTCCCTCTAGTGCCTCGTGACAAAGTGGATAATGTGTGGCTTGATGCCATTGCTGACTCTCCTGCTGGCCCTAAAGTGACTGCCTTCATGGACTACATGACAACCAGTTGGGTTCAAGGAGGGGCCTTCATGCCAGAGATTTGGAACCATTTCGAAAACCAAGGCCACCGTACCAACAATCACCTGGAAGGGTGGCACAACAAGATAAAGAAACTTACGAAGAAGTGCCACCCGAACATCTACGAGGTAGTGAAGCTATTTCAGCGAGAGCAGTCACTCAAAGAGGTTGCAGTCCTGAGAGTCTCTCACCAGTGGTCAGAACCTTCACGAAGAAAGAAGTAAAAGGCAATAGATGCACGTATTGCGTCCCTCAAGATCCAGCTCCTGAACCAACACCTGAGTGAGATGGAATATGCTGACCACGTTGGCGACCTCCTTCATCTGCAGTAATGACATTAAATCCATTATGATATTCATATGCTATTCATATTCATCAATGTAAAGTTTTGATGAATATGTTATCCTTGTTTTGTTATATACGGTAACCTGTTAGAATCACAAAGCATGTTTTGACAGCATAGCCGCGAGAGCCACATTATACAATCACGCAACCATAACCATTGCCGCGAGAGCCACATCAATTTGGGCTATCTATTTTCGAAATGTGGCTTTGCCGGCCTGTAACCGGCTGAAAACAGTCGCCGCAGCACTGCAAACTTATGGTCCAAAACACAACAATTATCAAAAATTTTAATACATCTCCATCGAATAACCATTTCTTGTTTGTTTCATTT